TTACACTGTTCTTTCTTTTTTTTTTTGATAATTTTTTTTTGACATTTATGCGACCCCAAAAATGTTAATTTTGTTAATGTTATTTTCTCTGTGTTTGAGCATATGAATCAATTCACATTCGATATTAAATGAGTTCAAAATTATTTTTTTGTTTTTATACCCTGCACTTCGTGAAGGGTATATTAACTTTGGTATGGAGTTTGTAACTACTCGAAGGAGTCATCTGCGGTATGGACATATATATATATTCTTGCTCAGCGTAAAATTCTGCGTCGATTTAGACATGTCCGTCCGTCCGTCCGTCCGTCCGATCGCACGATAACTCAAAAACGAATAATGCAATCGACACCAAACCTTCACAAGTTTTTTCTTTTGTGCCAAGGACGAACCCTATTGTTATTGGACTAATTCGGACAACGGGTTCGGGTAGCTGCCATACAACTCCAAGAGTTTATTTTAAATATTTCAAAAACTAATAAAGCTATAAATATAAAATTTTGTATACATGTGTCCAATTATATTCTACATATGGTTTAAAAATTATAATGGGATAGCTGCACCGGTTCGGGTGGCTGCCATACAACTCCAACAGCAAATTTTTTATATTCGGCAAAATAATAAAGTCAGATTCATGAAACTTGGCAGTCATGTGTCCAATTATAGGTCAAATATATTTCTGAAGTTTTAGAGGAATTGCTTGACAGGTTCGGGTACCTGCCGTACAACTCCAGAAGCTAATTTGAAATATTTGGAAAAATAATAAAGTTAGTTTCATGAAACTTGGCAGTTGTTTGTCGAGTTATAGGTCAGATATATTTCTGAAGTTTTGGTGGAATTGCTTGACAGGTTCGAGTAGCTCCCATACAAGTCTAAAAGCTTATTTTAAATATTTGGAAAAATAATAAAGTCAGATTCATGAGACTTGGCAGTTGTGTGTCCAATTATAGGTCAGACATATTTCTAAAGTTTTGGTGGGATTGCTTGACAGGTTCGAGTAGCTCCCATATAAGTCTAAAAGCTTATTCTTAATATTTGGAAAAATAATAAAGTGAGATTTATGAAACTTGGCAGTTGTGTGTCCGATTATAGATTAGATATATTTCTGAAGTTTTAGAGGAATTGCTTGACAGGTTCGGGTGGCTGCCATACAACTCCAACAGCAAATTTTTTATATTCGGCAAAATAATAAACTGAGATTCATGAAGCTTGGTAGTCATGTGTCCAATTATAGGTCAAATATATTTCTGAAGTTTTGGAGGAATTGCTTGACAGGTTCGGGTACCTGCCATACAACTCCATAAGCTAATTTTAAATATTTGGAAAAATAATAAAGTCAGATTCATGAAACTTGTCAGTCGGATGTCCAATTATAGGTCAGACATATCCATGAAGTTTCTATAGAATGATTTCACAGGTTCGAGTAATTGCTACACAATAACGAAAGGTGCAGGGTATAATTCAATCGGTTTATACCGACTGAAACGTTTTTACTTGTTTTTATTTTTTTTTTATGTTGATTATCATAATATAATGATTTCATTTATTTATGTTCGAACACCTTAATATATTGTATATGCTTCACTTTTTTAATATAATACAAGAAATAATGTTGAACTTTGTTAACAGAAAGAGTTTTAAGAAAATATTCTTAATGTTGTTCCATGTCTATGTTTATACATAATGTAGGTATATATTAGCTACATTATAACTGAATCAAAACAGAATCATGCAATTTTAATCAATTTTTGGATGGAATAATTTGCATTTAATTAATTTTGTAAAATTTGCTCTCATAGTTTGGGTAATACATATTATATTTTCAAATGTAAGACAAGGTGTTGGCAATAAGAAATTGTAGAATAACGTCACTTGCAACAGAAATTTCGGAAGTTGCATGTTGCATCTCTTTTCATACCAAAAATATTCTAAAAAATATCTTCATACCATTTCCCAGTTTGTCAATTCATAATTAGCCTACAACGAAAAACAAGTCAATAAAACTAATTACTAAATACATTTTTATATTAAGTCAAGATTTACGTATCAAACATTTTCTCCATACATTTTGTATGATTTAAAAATATTTTATTAAAATTTGATATTTAAATTTTCAAAACTTTCGTTGTCTTTCAGATAAGATGTGAAAAATAAAATTAAAATATTTATATATAAAATAAATAAAATTAAAATAGCTTAATTTTAATTAAATTTTTATCAAATCATACAAAATACATGAACAATGTTTGAAATACGAATCCAGACTTCTCTCAATAGTGCACAGTAAAAACAGGTTCCACTTAAACCGAAAATTTTATTGCAATTACAATATCGTGAATCAATATGATAATATTATTATATAATTTAACTTTTTATATGATTTGCCTGAGTCGTTGTCTACCACTTGATCCTCTTTTAAATTCCTATCTTAAATAATGTTGCTGTTAATTAAATCTCTAAAATAATAATGTTAATTTTGAACAGAATAATTTTGTATAATATTACATTTTTTAGAAAGAAGACATCTTTGAACTCATCTTTAATGGTATTTTACCATTATATCAAACATTTTATTTGAAAATTTTATTGTAACAAAACTAATATTCCTCTATTCTCGTAAGTGTCTGGACATAATATCTGAATTAAAAAACGAAAATTAAAATAAAATTTAAAGAAAATTAATTATGTATGAATTTTATGTATATACATTTTAAAAAGTGATTCATTTGTGATTTTAATTTGTGATTTTAATTTGATGACTTAATTTAAAATTTTTAAGTTGATTGCAGCATATAATAAACGAGTATTGTATACAATTTGAAAATTAATTCCGATTACGGTTATATTAAAATTTTTTAATAGGAAAACTCAATAGCTTTTTAAAATAAGATGTTTAAAAAGTTAATTTTAAAATGATATTAAAATAACTATGATAATTTTCTATATGCGTTTATTGTTTTTATTACTTAATAAAATTCAAATGTATTATTTACAACACAATGTTAGATTATGTAGGTTTGAAATGTGTATCATATACAAAAGTACCGTAAAAGAAATTCTCTTTAATAATGTTGTGAATATACGGGATGATGTTACTAATTTTTTTTATTATTATGATCGATTTTAAAATAATTTTAAAAAGTTTTTGACTAACTTTCACCATTGTTTTATTAAAATATAAAAAATGGATTATAAAATAAAATAAATTAATAAGTTATGAGCTACTTAACACCGTTTTATGAATTATCATCAGTTATCACTTATGGGAATAGTGTTAAGCAGTTGGTTTATTTAAAATTTTGATTTAAAGTAGTAAAAATAATCGTTGAAAAATTAATATAGTTTACGTATCTTAATTGCCAATGCCACTAATAATGATAATTAAACAATTAGTGATAATTTAATTGAAAAATCACTTAAATAGTACAAAGAAAGTTAGAGTAGAGCTTAGAAACAAAGAGAGTAATAACAGAAGTAGAATGACATTAAACAGTTGAGAAATACTACATAAATACTGAGTTGAGTTTTATACAGCTTAGCTGTAGAATAGAGTATAAACACCTAAGAATAAAAAAAATTCTTGTTCCATAATTCTTCTATAGGTTGAGTTAGGTTGACGCGGCCATCCGAAGATACACTTAGGCTACTTGGGCCAATTGTGATACCGCTGGATCTCCATGCCCTCACCCTTACGTGAACCAGCAGTGGTTTAAGTCCCTGGCATTTACATTCGCCAGGTTGGTAATTCGCAAATAGGAATGTGACCCAAGGAACGTCCGCCTTTTCCATAACAAAGCTGGGCATGAGCATAGAAAATGAGCTACTGTCTCCTCCTCCTCCTCGTAATTCTTCTGTAAAGCCAACATTAATATAAACCATCCATTCGAAGCTAAAACTAAGAGAAGTGTGAGATTATCGACCTCAATTAAGTCATCCAAGTATTATCAAAGTGGACGGAACTGGTCATGGGTTGCATTATGTATAGGACTATAGGCTAATTCTTCGCCCAGTTAAATCTAATTTTTCGTTGTGTTTGAGAATATTTTATTTTTTAAGTCGAATTTTTCATTAAAATTTTTAGCATAAGATCAATTGGCTATTTCTGATAGTTGGTTGAAAAATTAGGTCTATCTAAATAGTTGACTAGAATTTGATTCAATAGAATGCACAATTTTACTTAAAATGAGAACATTCATATGGCTTGGCATACACATGACACATGACAGAAATTTCTAAGTAAATATATGTATATTGATATCTTAAAAATACGAATAGACATAAAAATGTTTCACAAAGAATTCAGTCATTAATAAGCCCTATTAAAGTATTAGCACTAGAATAACATAAAAGCCTATACCACAAATTAATATTAACCCATTAAAATGAAAATTTAAAATTGACAGATTTGATTTCATTAACGTTGCACCAAAAACCTTAAATTTGGTAATAAAAATTAATAAAGGTAGACATTTTTTTTATTATTTTCAATTTTAATATTCGTTTTAATTTCGGTATTTCTTTTGAAATAAATTGAACATACATAGAATTAAATCAAAAAAACTTTAACAAATTTTATAACATTTCCGAATTCTTAAATTTTTATTTTATTTCTCATTGCTTTTCTTTAATTCTATAACTCGTTTCTTTTCATTCTTTTTCCCTATACTTGTTCATTCATAAGGGGCTCTTTTTGCCTCTCTTGCTGTTTATATATAACGTATGTAGATAAATATTGGGTATTTTATTACAAATTCTTTAATTTAAATATGTGAACAAGAACTTGAAAACGAAAAGTAGAAAAATTGTAACATGACATTTTCAAGGGATGATTAACGATTTATTTGAATTTTAAAATTAAAATTTTATTTTTATTCCTTTCTACTATTTAAAAATTTTATTTTCTGCTTGTCTTTTTTTTTCCTGTATTATATCAACATAAAACATATTATAAAATCCCCAAGAATATTAAATTTCTTTTAAAGAATTGAGAAATTATACATAGTATGGTGTGGATATGCGGAAATAGATGTGGAACTATTCCAATTACTTGTTTGAATTCAAAATATACTGAAAACTATGAAGCAAAATTTAAAGCTGACAGTCGCTACAGGACTAGATTTATGATTTTCTCTGCTGAATTCACTGAGAATTGGGCTTTAGTTGCTTCAAATCCGAATATTAATTTTATTAGAGAATTGATTTCGAGAAATTACTTTTCTTTAATGTTACACGAAGTTAGTAGTACAACGGCAACACTTCAAACAGAATTATTGACAATCCGTAAATTTACATGTACTTGCAGTTGTCTGTTATATCTTAATTCTCTTTTCATTTATTTTACTTCTCCTACTAATTAGTTTACAGCGAATCTTACCGAAAAAAAAAATGACGAAAAATCTACTGCTTCTATTCTAAGCAAAAAATTTCTGTTTAACGAGTTTTCACTCGTAAAAATGCAATTTCACTTGCAACACGCAATGAAAAACGCAAATAAAAACGAAAGGGAATTTATATAACTAGAACATGGAATTTCTATTACAACTGTAAGTAAAACCATGTGACCTAATGACAGCTATTCTGTCACCTGTTATAAAATCTGACAGTCTTAAACTCCATTTTAACTACAACGACACAGAAAAGGTAAACAAAATTTTATTTGAGTAAGGAAAACATGTTGTGACTTATATTTGAGCCTCATAAGCAAGCAACCGTATAAAATCGGAAAAATTTCGTTAAAAATTTGACATGTTTACCTACCATACGAGTAGTATTGCCATACTTGAAAATTCAATTTTTATATTCTCTAATTTTACATTCGAGTCTTGAACTTTTCAACTCGTATCAAAATTAGATCGAATAAAAAAAAAATAATGACCATTAAAATCAAAAGAAAACATTTTTAATGTTAACATTTTTATTGTAATTATGACAGGAAATCTTTTACATTTTTTTTTTACATTTTCAACATTATAAAAGTGAGTGAATAAATGACAAGAATGACATTTTTAATAGTGTTGGGGGTTTTTATTATTTCCAATGTTTTTTTATAATTTGTTATAAATTTTTAGTTTTTACTATTAAAAATGTTTTTCATATGACATTTTGCTTTTTTTTTTTGGTTTGCTGTTCTTCTTTATTTATTTTGTTGTTTGTTCAATTAAAAATGAAATTTTTATTGAGATTTTTTTTTTCGAAAATTAGAATTAATGATCGTATTAGGGAAAATAAAGAATTAATAAAAAGTATCACGTTACAAATTTAGATTTAGAAAATTCTTAGTAGAAAGGGTCATAATGGAATAGGGCTTTTGATTTCATAGAAATTTTTGTTTGTATAAAATTTTTAAAAGAGGAAGAGATTTTGTTTTGTATGCAAGTATACGTGTATGATAAGAGGAAATGGAATTCCCAGTTCCTTAAAATCTGTCAATCATAGTATTAATTTTTCTAAAACAAAAATTTATTTTAATTATATTTTAAATTTCGTTTATTAAAAATAGTTAAAAATGATGTGTAAATGCAATATTATGTAGTTATATGTGAATTATTTATTAAGTCACGTATTATCTACGGTCTTATACCAGGGAAATGATCACAATAAATTGCTAACTCTTTTTAAGATTTATAAGTAAAGTAAAATCTTTCCCCACTTTTCCCTTACCGTTACTGAAACTGATTAAGGTAGCTAGACAAACCAAATTTTATGTGAAGTGTTCGATCACGAATTCGAATTGGGCAGACGTTGCTTTATAATTACATAGAATTGATAGCTTTAAACAATTTTGTAAAAATACAATATGAACAATTAAAAAATTCCAACTACAGTCAATAAAATATTAGATGAGCTTACAATATAAATGCGCTTATATAAGGAGAAGGATTTTCGTAAACAATTTTCATGATATTGTCAGTTTGAAAAATTTATAAAATTTTATTAGATCAAAATGATTTGTGGATTTTCTATTGTTACTCGTATTAAACTTTGATAAATTTTGAACTTTAAATAAATTATTGAAATATTTAAGAACTAATTACAGGTTGAAATAAACATTTACCTTATATTTACAAATTATGAAAATTAAAACTCACAACAGCACCAATATTTGATTTAATAATTTAAAAATATTCTTCAAAGACTATGTTCTTTTAAACTAAGCAATTTCGCGATAAATCATATTCAAAATTGATTTGTTATAAAATCTCCCTTTAAAAAAAACTTAATCCTTTACTTATTCAACTATAACTATAAAGTATCCTATATGCAAAAATTAAGAAACTCATAACTTATTCATAATCCCTGTAATAAATATGAAGTTAAAATAGTTATATTTTTTCTTATCCCTTTTAATTATCAGAAAACAAATAAATCATATATGTAAAATAAAGACCTTATATAAAAAAAACCTTAAATCACAAAAATTTCGTAATCTTCAACACCTTTTCTAAAAAAACATGTTATTCAAATAACTACTCATATATGATAATTTTATAAATTATCCTTTAAGTTTAAATGATTTTTATAACATTATCCTTTTATTTAAACTATATACTTATGTAGGTAAATTAATATCTTTGCTTTTTTCAACTTTAATAATCAAGTTTATTTCTTGTCTAGCAACTATTTATTTATTATAAATCTACATACGAAAGAAGTAAATTTTCTGACACAATTACTTACTTTTTATCCCTTTTCCTGTAACCATTTATTAATATTCACAGATTTTCATAAAAAAAAAAAATACAATATTTACACACAGTAAATGTAAGAACTAGTGTTAAAATAAAAAATATGTAGGAAAATTTTATATTCTTGGTTGTTTTTCACACTCATACCCTTTGAGTCTTCTTCCCATATTTACTCCTGCTCCTTTCAATTTTTTTTGTGTGCTTCTACTGCACTTAACACAGAAAGAGGAAAAAAATGATTTATGATCATTTTTTTTTTCTCAACCTAACAGTAAATACAAACAAATAACTGTTGTTACAATTTTATAAAAAAAAATATTTTCAATTAGGTACTCGTATAAAGACCGATAATAAAAATAAGAATTAATCATTTTTCTGTTCCTTGGACGATAAAACTAAAAATCAGAATTTTTTTTTCTATTGTGTTCCCGTTCCGTCGTGCTCCCTTTCATTTTGTATAAAATATCATGTTGTTTCGCACTAGCACATAAATAAAAAGTTCTTCAATAAAAATTAGATATGAGGCAAAAAATACTGCAATGTTCGAGAAAATTTCACTAGTTTAAAAAAAATAAACCGGCAAAATTTTTGCAAAAATTTGAACCAAGTAACAAACTGGGGAGAAATTTTAATGCCAATTAACATAACAATCTCAGATAATTTTCTTAATACCTCAATTGGTAGAGCAAGATTACTAGAAAGCTTAGAAAGCTTCTGAATACCGCAACTCTGTCGTCTAAAAGATGTACTGAAGTCTTTTTCTATCCACAGAATCTGCAAGTGCCACGATTTTTCAAATCCAGCCTACTAAGGTACAGTGGCCCGACAAGATTCCGATGAGCATTCTAACCTTACTCTTGCCCAATCCTACAACCTTCTTAAATCACTTCTGCTCATTATCTCCCATAAATCTGCTCCTTGGCTTGCTGCAGCCCCGGAAGATTTCTCTAGGACTCCGACCGGCTGGTCAATATCAACAAGTAATTCCAATATTATTTTGATTAAAATTAAAATTATTTTTAAAAATTAAGACAATCTTTAAGAATTCAAATATTTTAAAGATCTATTCACAATATCGAATTCTCATTCACAATATTATCTTCTTATAGCTGCAACATTTAAATATCAAAACATTATAATCAGTCATTTTGATTGGAAAACCCTTTTCTAAAATATAATTTATGTAACAAAGAACTCAAATTAGATTTCACATTTGCTATACTAACTGGTTCTTTCATTACTTTGGTATTGTAGCAAAAAAAAAGCAAAAGGGTGAAAGGTGATAAATGAAAAAAAAACAAATACTTTTTCGTTGTTTTCTCATTCTACATGCTCGAATACCTGTACATTTCTAATAAAGTCGCAAAAAAAATACCTGTACAATTTTAATTTAAATTCACTTTATAAAATTTAATATAAATAGGTGAAATAAATGTTACCTATAAAGAAAAAAAACTGATATTAACCACACATATGAGGGGAAACAAAAAACACTAAATACTGAAATAATTAATTAAAAGAAAATCCGTTATAAAATCCTTTAATTTTAATCCTTTTTAAACTTGACAAACAAAAAAGTAGAATTTTCAACCCATATGCATATTAGTAGATAAAGTAACCATTTATACAACAACAAAAAATCTGTGAACCGTATATAAAAAAAAAACGGGACAAAAAACAGGTCCTGCCCAAAAACAAAGTCGAATTTCTAAAAAATATTCATGAACTTTCTATATTTTCCAATAATGAATCCAAAAATATTCGAAAGTTTTATAATAAATAAAAAAAAAAAATAATAAAAAACAAAAAATAAAAAGTAAATTTTTCTTCTTATCCCTGATAGCACACTTTTTTGTTTACCCAGTTTTCAAACTTTTCTGTTTTTTTTTATTTTAAATCATAAAGAACCTGTTCAACCCTTTACTTTTTATATAATTGAAAATAGAAAATTCATATACAACGGTAAATGAAAGATTATTCCCCTGGAAAAACAAAATTTCCTTTTATTATTTTTCTTCTTTTTCATCTTTTTTCTTTTCTAATTTTTTGTTTCAGTTCAACTTTCCATTGAACCCTACCATCATTGATTATTTAAAATCATTTTAGAATTTTATTAGAAAATTTTTAGAGAAATTTTAATCTCTAAGTCAAATTCAAATATTTTTTAAATACAAATCATTGCAAGTTTTGTAAAAAATTAATAAAAAATTATTATAAATACTTTTAAATAAAAAAAATTTTTGAATTCATGGAAAACTTTTTGTATAAATAAAATTTAAAACCGAAAAAAAGGAACACAAAATTTAAAATATAGGGAGGCTATGGTGATTTGAAAAGTCTGAGTATGATTTACAAAATGGGAGACTCTTGGTACTTATATTTAAGAGAAATTTTGCTAAAAATTAAGTGTGTCGCACACACCGTTTAATGATAGGTAAAGAGAAAATTAATTATTTGTGACGAAATTATGCGGCAAAATACCAGAACTCCAAAATAAAAGTTCGACTTGAACAGTATACAATGATATGAAACTACTGCCCAACCCTCGCAATAACCTTGATTTTTTAGCTATACTGTTAACAGAAATATATATCG